GTATTTTTAGTAGAGACGGGGTTTCACCATGTTGACCAGGATGGTCTCGATCTCTTGACCTCGTGATCCACTCGCCTCGGCCTCCCAAAGTGTTGGGAGCCACCACGCCCGGCTACTTACAGTATTTAAAGGCAATTTGTAGTTTAAATTTCTCAGCCTTCAAAAATGAAGTATTGGCTGGGTGTGGTGGCTAATGCCTGTAATCCCAGAATTTTGGGAGGCCAAGGCAGGAGAATCGCTTGAGGCCAGAAGTTAGAGACCAGCCTGGGCAACATAGTGAAACCCTGCCTCGATTTTAAAAAAAAATTAAAAAATCAAAAATAGGCTAGGCATGGTGGCTCAAGCCTACAATCCCAGCACTTTGGGAGGCCTAGGCTGGCAGATCATGAGGTCAGGAGTTCAAGGCTATCCTGGCCAACACAGTGAAACCCCATCTCTACTAAAAATACAACATTAGCTGGGTGTGGTGGTGGGTGCCTGTAGTCCCAGCCACTTGGGAGGCTGAGGTAGGAGAATCACTTGAACCTGGGAGGTAGAGGTTGCAGTGAGCTGAGATCGTGCCACTGCCCTCCAGCCTGGGTGACAGAGAAAGACTCTGTTTAAAAAAATAATAATAAAATAAAAAATAAAGTATTATTTTTCAGTTCAAAAGTTATCTGGGGCCAGGCATAGAGGCTCATGCCTGTAACCACAGCACTTTGGGAGTCTGAGGTGGGAGGATGTTTGTGTCACTGGACTCTAGCCTGGGCAACAGGGTGAGACCCTATCTCAAAAAAAAAAAAAAAAAAAAGTTATTTAGAAAATTGCCAATAAGGTATTTGATACAAATTTGCATTTATAGTAACAATAACAATTCTGCTGATTTTATTTTACACTTGCCACCTTTTGAAGGAAACATGGTCAGGAAGCTACAGAAAGAAACAAACTCTGCCCACATTATAGTTAAACAGATTTGGTTGGTACACACCCATTTTCTGGGCTGCATTGAGTTCTTCTGGGAGGTTTGGTTTGGTTGGAAAAGTGAGAGCTGGTCACACTGTCCACTGCTCAAGATCCCTGTAGTGGCAGCAGCTGCCACCTCCAACCACAAATGCCAGTGGCTGGGCAGACTTTGGGCACACTGGGCTTCAGGAGCCTTTCCAGCCTTACTGAAATGCTGGTTGGCACATTTAGGGGATACAGATGGACAATCACCATATTAATAGATGAAGAATAAATAATCTTCTAGATTTTCAGCTTTAGATCCAATCCATCAAGATATGAACTCTATTTGAAAGTTGTGCCATGCTTCATTCAAGTACTTTTTGACCCCCTACTATGTACAATTTGAAAAATAAGAGTCAAAATAGGCCAGGCGTGGTGGCTCACGCCTATAATCCCTACACTTTGGGAGGGCAAGGTGAGCGGATCATGAGGTCAGGAGATTGAGATCATCCTGGCCAACATGGTAAAACCCCGTCTCTACTAAAAATACCAAAATTAGCTGGGCGTGGTGGCCTGCTCTTGTAATCCCAGCTACTTGTGAGTCTGTGGCAGGAGAACCTCTTGAACCTGGGAGGTGGAGGTTGCAGTGAGCTAAGATCGCACCACTGCACTCCAGCCTGGTGACAGAGCGAGACTCCATCTAAAAAAAAAAGAGTCAAAATAAGCATGACATTCAGGGGCAGCATGCCCCACTGCTTGAGTGAAATGGGACGCATCAAATTGTGGGAGAAAAACTTAGGATGCTGCCAGATTGTCACACTGAATGCTGCCTTCTTCCTGGAGGCACACCTGGGAATCTGCAGAAGGTTTTGAAAAGGCAATTAATGTGATGAAATCACACTTTAAAAACAGTGACCCGACAGCAGTTTTGGGAGGGATTTAGGAAGAAGAGAGAAGCTGAAATAATACTGAGGTAGTGGATGCGGGCATCCAGTTTAACCTCTCTCAGCTAGGAAATCAGAATGCTTATAGGATTATGGTGAGAATCAAGGGTGGTGCCTGATATGTGGCCAACAGCAGATAAATACTGGTTCCCTCTTCCACTACTTGGGGTTACTGCGGTGATGGTGCATGTAGGGTACAGATGTAAGACAGATTACTTGGGAAAGAGCAGCAAACTTAGCAAATAGTTGAATTTTAAGGAATTTAAGACAGACGAAGCAAAGGAAAAGCTATGATTTCAAACAGAAAAACCAGGTCTTAGATAAAGAGGAGGAGGTCTTAGATAAAGAGGGTTCAAGAAGAGTACTAGTTTGAGGGAAAGACGAATTGACTTTTGGATATTGAATTTGAACTTGAAATTTTACAAAGACAATATGGATTCAAGAGTCCCTGAAATTGAAGAGAAACCAGGAGTGTACCTTGAAGCTCAAGTTTCCAAGTCCCTCATTTTCCCTGGGCCCTCCCAAGCATACATGTCTAGTATTATGTTTGTAATTTTTTATTGCTTTCCTTTAAGAAGCTCCCTCCCAAGTTATACAAGCTTCAGGCCCCACGGAATCTGGATGGGTTCAGTTAGAAATCAGAAGGTATTTCTATGAGATAATGGGAGATCAAGAGTTGGAAGAAACTTGTTACTGTCCTCAAAGGAAAAGAAGGGTCAGCAGAGAAGGCCAGAGAAGCACAGAGAAGGCCTGAGGGTAGGATGCTGCCAAGGAGATCAAAGGCACAAGGGGCTGAGGATGGGTCGTCAGACTTGGCTTCTCAAAAAGTAACTGTTTTTAGAGCACATGCTCAGTACAGTTGTGGGGGAGGCCCACTGTCATGCCACGGGGTTGAGGAGTGAGGAGTAGGTAGGGGGTGTGGACGCTCCATCTGACAAGGTCGACAGTAAGAGGAAAGAAGATGCCACTCCACTCCTCACTTTCGATCTTCTGTAATTTAACTTGAGCCTGAACAATCAATATTCCTTTGGGATTAATATTAGCTCCCTGAGCATGACATTGTCTTCTCTTTATTGCATTTTCTTATTCCTTAAGATTTTAAGATTTTCTTAGTTGGATCAATTTCTCTTCACGCTTGATCAATGGCCAAGAAATGGGCTATAGGCAGGCACAGTTCTGGTTTTTGTTGTTTACACTAACAGTTTTTCTTTCTCGATCCAAGGCTTGCATATGGAGGTCAGGAATTCTGTCCTAGGAGTTCAGGGACTGAGGACCAGGGTGGAGGAAGAGAAAGGCGTCAGATATTAGGCTGAAAAAGAGAAAGGCGTCAGAAAGGCGTCAGATATTAGGCTGGTCGGTTATCTAGGATCCAGTCAAAGGTAGCGATGACTTCATCTGCCGCAGAGGGCGCCTCCCTATCCCGGCAGTGCATTTTCGATCAGCCGGTTTGCCCGGGATGTGTTCTTTGACTGCTTGCTTCTCACTGCTTGGCGTCCCAAGTCACTTTGAAAAAAAAAAAAAAAAAAAAAGATGTGATTAAATCGATTTCCCTATTTCTTTCTGTGAGGAGTGTGCCTTTCCCAGACAGCGTGCGTTCATTCGATCAGACCTGGCATAAATTTTTGAGGGGTCTTTTTACAATTTAATACAACTTAAAGGTTCCTGTTACCATCTTCATTGAGAATTAAAAACAAAAACAAAACAAACAACAGTAACAAATCTACAGTTGGGAGGCCCCAGGGAGGAGCTGACCTTTGGGAACCTCTAGCCCCGCCAGGTTTCGGCTTCAGGGGCTGGGACAGTTCTCCGAGTGCTGCTAGGTCTCCAAGGAGAAGCAAGTGTGGGGCAGAGGGTGGTCCAGCGCGTGCGTCGGGGGGCGTGTGCGGGGGTGTGCGTGTGTGTGTGCATGCGTGTATATAAGAGTGTGTGCGCGCCCGTGTGCACAAGAGAGGGTGCTAGGGAGGCTGCCGCAGAAGCTCCTTTGTGGAAGGCACTTGCCGCTTCAGAAGCCAGCTTGGCTCCTCCTCTCGCCGGTTCCCCGAGGACACCTGGCTTTTCTGAGCAGCCCAGTTATCTCCCGCCGCCCCTACTTCTCTCGGTGGGCCCCGGCCCTGCCCAGCGCCAGCCTTTGGGGCGGGGAGTAGTGTGCCCTGCGGCGCCTCCAGGCCCCCGGGGCCCCGCGCAGGTGAAGGTGAGCGCGTGCCGGCGACGGCGGCGAGTGGAGAGAGGAAGGGGGAGCCGGGATTGGCCGGCGGAGCAGGAAAGGGCGCGCTGCCCTTCGCTGCCGGCTGGTAGCTGCGGGACCGCAGCATTGTTACCTGAGGCCGCCGCTGCGCCCCGCCCCGCCCTGCCCCCTCGCACAGGCGGGGCCTGCGGTGACCCGGGAGGAGGCAGAGGCGCCGACAACGCGGCAGGAGGCTGCGGCGGTCTGCGCAGCGGCTGCAGGGGACGCTGGCTGTGGGTGAGTGCGGGTCGGGCGGCCGAGGCGGGGGCGACCGCAGCGCGGGGCACGGGGAGGTGGAACCCCGCCGCTCGGGAGGGTCGGGGTCGGGCTGTCGGCCCGGACTCGGGGCTGCGGCGCCGAGAAGCGCGGCCGATGGGCGCCGGGTCTCGGCTCCCTCCGAGCCTCACCGGGAAAGCTGGAGAGGAGGTTACAGCTCCCTCCACATCCACCGGGATGACTTTGGCGGCTGCCCTTACCCGGCCGTGGGGAGCGACGACCGGTCCCTGGAGGCGAAGACGCGCCGGTGTGGACGCGCCTCTGGAGAACGAGCTGTATCACCGGGCTGCCTCGGGTCGCATCTGGGCCGTTGACTGAGCCATGGCTAAGACTTTCAGATCAACCGGCCCCTAGTTTATCCCGGCCCGTGGGAGACAGCGGCGTCCCGCACAGAAAGCGCAGCCGCGGCGCCGCGCTCTGCTCCCTCACCAGCCGGGAGCCACGCCTGGCCCCTGGGACAGCGGTACGGCGGTGGCGGGGACCCAGTGCGGCGGTGCGGGCCGAGGACTGGGCGCTTCTCGTCTTTGCTCCGGCCGCGTGAAGTTCGGGTTAGAAGTTGCGCCCCGCCCCTGCAGGAGTGTGGGGAAGGGAGGAGGCGGGTGGGCTGGCGGGTTAGCCTCCAGACTCGGGGTGACCCCAGCTCTTGGAGAGCGGATTCTCGGTTTAGTCCTCTGACCGGTTTCAAGCGCCAGGAATCTCCCGTTTTTCTCACCGGCTCGTCCCTGCTCCCTTTTGACAGAGTCGTAGTGCGGCCGTGAGGCTTTCCCCCTCGCGCCTGCGACCCGGACTGGGGATGTGGGAAGATGTCGAGGCGGAGACTCGGGGTGGGGTGGGAGCGGGCGGCCGCCGCAGACCAGGTGTCTGCGAGCCGGAAGACTCCTCTTTCGCTTCAATCACAGAGACACCTCCCCTAGTTAGCCGTCTCCCACCCCACTTCTGGGCGCTGCCAGCGGAGCCCCGCAGAGGAGCGGGCGCCGCGGGGGGCGTGGCGCGGGGGCGTGGGCTTTCTAGCCGGGGCCCCTCGGGGCGAGGGGGCGGGGCCGAGACCCCAACCCGAAGGGAGGGGCCGGGAATAGGCGACCTGGCGGGGCAGCCGACTCAGTGGCTCCAGACGCCGCACTAGAGGGCGGTTGGCGCTCGGAAAGGCCGAGGGTCCTGCGCCGCCCGAGCTGGGCACCCGCCCTGCAGGCCGCGGCCTCTCTCCCCGCCGCAGAGCCGGCGCGGCGCGTGGGGGCGTCGATCTCCGCGCACACTGGTGCCCCACCCTCGCCGCCGCGACGCGCTCCTGCCAGACGCTGATAAGGACTAGACTGGGGCTCCGCGCGGCCCGCGGGGCCGCCCACTCGCGTGCAGCTTGCTGCCGGGGAGGGGAGAGCGCGGCTCTCCGGGGATCCGCGGCAGAGCCAGTGGCTAGTTGGTGAGTGGCTTGTGCGGGGTGCGGGGTGCGGAGTTGGGGACGGAAGGAGGCTGCCAACCGCTGGCCAATGCGGAGATCTAGTAAGGCACTATTTATGTATCCAAATTGGAAAGGACAGTGCCCTCGGGCTCCTCAGGCCGAATTTTCCAGATTTAGTGGTCGTTTTTCAAACTTCTGTGTGCACAGAAACTACCTCCGGGGTTCGGCCGTCTGTGACCCCCTTCTACTGACTCAGTGTCTTCCTGGAATGAGCAGCCAGCGCTTCCTTCCCACTCTCTAGAGCATCCTTCGGCACGCCTGTGCTTTTTTGTTTTTTTTCCTAGGTTTTGAGACAGTGAGAGAAACTGAAAATGTACGTTCAAATATAGGCATTCTTCCTCAGCTCTCGGGTGCTGCTCTCTGGCGTCTGTGAATGTTTACATTGTTCTCCAGTTTGAAGGCACTGACTGGGAACGCGTTGTCCTGGGTTCTACTGCCTGGAGCACAGGCAAACGGAACACAGATGGAACTCACAAAAGAGTTGGACGGTCCGGCTCTGGCCCGACTGTGTAGTTGTACCGACTGACATTCTGTTTAATAGTCAAGAAAGGTTTTGAAAGATAAGTGATGGTGGAGGAGACTCTTCCCGAATGAGTCTGGAGTGAGAGCAAAAATTCCATAGTTTAGAATTGCCCGTACTTTCCCCATCCTTTTCTTCTCCCCCAAACACAGTGAAATAGGGCTGTGTGTTTCTCTACTCTGCTCTCCAAACTCGCTCTGTCCTGGTTTGTCATCAGAAGCATTGGGCCAGCCCTTCCTGCCCCCACCTCATCTGTGACACTTGCCAGGAGTCAAGGGGAAAGGTTTTCTGGCAGGTTTTCCTTGATGGTCCCTTTGATTATTGTTGACCAAAGGAGTGAGTGACCAGCTGAGCACCAAGGCCCGACTTGTCCTCTTTCAGGAAAGCCCTGAGCTCCAAACTGACGTCAAGGAACATGCTCTCCTCTTAAATACACTGTGAGATGAAGCCTTCATACACTTTTTCTAGACTCTCGCCCACTCCCTTCAAGAACCTAGAACTTCTTGGGATGTTTCTGACACCAAGGAAAAAGTACAGCGGGCTCTTTAGGCAAAAGAGGTTAGGAGGGGGCGGGAGGCGGCTTTGAAGACCCTTCATGAACATTCTAAGATTTTTTGCCTGCCAGTTAACTAAAAGTACGTTATCACAGCACCGCTTTATTGAAATTTCACGTAGTTAAAAGATGCTCAACTGAGCTGCAGCCTCCTTGGGAGAGTCCATCACTCAAACACAACTCAGATGGGTCATGAGTAGCATTCAGGGAGCTTGAAGAGACATTCCTATCTTCAGAGCCCAGCCATGACAGCTCTGCATTTTACTCAGAGCTGGGCACTTGTCAGCCTTAGCAGCTATTCTTATCCTGCTGCTGAAGTCTCCAACCTGTAGCTGAGATCTTACACACAGGCCTGTCTCTGTCTGCCCCAGGAGATTGATGAGACTACTTAGCATTTTCCAGACCGTGTGGGGGCTGATCCTGTTGTCCCCACTGGCAGTGTCAGCTGTGAGAAACAGCCAGCCAGTGTGGTCTGTTAGGGCTTCAGCATCACCTACATTCTCCTAGTGTACCTGGAGAGTGTGTGTTTGCATCTCTGCTGTGGGCAGTAGTGCAGCAAATCCAGCGTTCTTTTGTGTATTCTCTATTTTAATTTCCACATGGCTGTGGAAAGGGTTAGAATTCTGTCTGCACTCTGCTTTTCCTGCCACCTCTTTCACACTGGATGTCCTGGCCGAGGGGGGAAACCCTATTGAGGTAAGGGTAGTAAAAGCATTAGCGTCTTAGCTAATCATTGCTGACAAACTTATTCATTAGAAGTTGTTTGGGGCCTAGGATCCTTGTCTGTTACCCTGGGAAAAAATTAATCAGACAACATACCAGGGACAGCGTTGTACATTTTCTTTTGTTCCTTTAACTTTTAAAAATAACATTCTTTTACATGGGACATTGGTTGGAATCATCCCAATGCATAGCTGTCACTTTTTATTTTGACAGCCTTCTATCTGGCACTTCTTCTGTGCAAAGCACAGTACTAAAAAATGCACCTTTTTATAACTCAGTCAAGACAGTTGCAGGTGGGCAAAAAATAAAAAAGTAAAAATGCACCTTTCTGGCTTTGTTGTTAGGAGACAGTGATGTTGCACAACCTTGGAGTATTTAGTCTTCCTTAGTCTTTGTCAGTATCTCTATATTTGCTTTGTGAGGTTTAGTGGCACATCTGTATATATACAGCACTGAATGAGTTATTGCTATCTAGATTGGAGACTTTCTGAGCTTATCACCATTCTTAAGAGGGATAATCTTTAAACAAGTCAGCATCTCTGGAACTGGAGGTGAATTGGAGGATTAACAGCTCTTCTATACATGAGATATTTTATGTACATAAGTATTTTTAAATATGTAAGGATAAACTGCCAAAATTACCTGCACAGTCTTGAAAAAGAAGAGTTCAAATATAACTATAAACTGTAATTGACAATGAGTCATTTGCTTTAAGGGTGCCAACTATGAAAACAGCCTAGTTATGCCCCTAATGATAATTATGAAAACTCCTTCTGGAAGCGAGTTGCATCTCAAGTGAGCTGTATGTTACCTTGGAAGAATATTTTCTATTTTACTTATTTAAAAATTATTCAGTGGTGTTGGCTGCATGACACTTTGAATGTACTTAATGTCATGAAATTGCACACTTCAAATAGTTAAAGTGATTTTTAAAGTATCCAATTAATAGCTGGAATTGCCATTTTCTACCCATATAGAGGCAATTTTCAGAACTCCGATATTCAAATGTTTCATTAAAATATTTGCTTTTGTAATATGGAGACAATTTAATAAATAATCATGGAGCATTGAGAAAGGACATATTTTGTAAACTTTGCTAGCAAAGAATGGAAATATTATGAATTTTTTCATAGCAGCCAGGGGTAACTTGGCATTTTATCTATGAACCCAATACATCTTTTAAAGCAAATGTAATACCTGTGAAAATAAAGGGAAATCATATGCACATATGATAACAATTTGTTATTGTTATAAATAATAGCCAACTATGTACCAGGCACCTTGGTAAGGACCATACACGTTAGCTCTTAATTTTTATACAAACCAATGGAACAAATATTTCCTCATATTGTAGATGAAGATGCTGAAATGTAGGTGAAGTGACTGACCACAGCTCACGCTGCACATCTTGAAAACAGCAGAACTTTCTGAGAAAAAGGAGTCTGTTCCTAGAATCTCCACTCTTATTCCCAAGGCAGTCCTGTCTTTTGGATACGGTTCTGTGTGAATCATTTTATAATATTTGAATTTGTGATACCAGATTGTTTATTTCCGTGTAATCTAAAATTATCTGAACAACTTGTGTTTTTAAGTATGGGCTTTGACAGTGGTGCTGTAAAAAGATAATTACACTCCGAAGTTCAGTGTAAAAAGCCATTGTGTATGGCCCTCTGTGATCTGGAGGAAATAGTCCCCTTTCCACACTCCCACCTAGTTGGGGTGCTCACTCGATAGCCTGCGTGGGGCCCTTTCTATACCTCCACTTACCTGTTCTTGTATCTGAAAACTTTGTCTTGACCTCTCTTTCACATCAGATCAGTAACAGCCCAGCATCAAAAACAAACATTTAAAGTTCCATAAAAATGTAGCCCACCAAAGTAAGTTGGTGACTGTGTATAAGGGACATGTGGCAAATGTGACATGTATGACATGTGACATGGGCAGCATGTCCTTGGGTGCATCTCGTCTTTGCTAAAAGTGTCAGAAGCAGAAGAGGTAGGTGATGGTTTCCAAAGAGTGACTTAACTAGAATCCAAGATGATAGAGGTCATTTCATGTGTTAACCTAATTTTCTCCTAATGAGAAAACTGAAGTCTAATGAGGTGAGGTGACTTGTCTAAAACTGTAAGCAGTAAAGCTTGATTTAGGGCTGGAATCCCATTTTTCACATCTGCTGTTCTTTTCTCTATTTGAGGGAAAGCCACATCACCAAGTAGAGCAGAAATATGGTAGCCCTGACTCCAGGGAAAATGAGTTAGGCCATTATTTTGTCATCTCCAAAAGCCTTGCCTTATCCGTCCAAGGTGCAAGATGCCTTTTTTGACCCACTGATTGGTAGGAGACAAGTCCAGACTGGAAAAAGGTAGGGTCACTAATGCCTAATGCTTCAGCAATTTGGGCAGTTTCTCTAGTGGTTGGGCAACCATTGTCCTAAGAGAACGAAATAGTTAGTAAACAAGTAGTTTATTCATAAAGTGAGCAATGCTTGCTGAGCCTATAGCAGGCTCTCAGTATATATGTGCTATGTTGATTAATGCGAGGTTTCCAATTGGATTTGTTGCTATTTCTTTGGCAGAATTTCCAGGTAGTAAAATTTGATTTACATTTAGAAAAGAATTGGTTCCTTGTAATGCACCTTGGGATGCATTGTCCCTCATTGATTTTCATATCCAACTAAAGTGAGAGGATTGATACTAGCGTCTGAAGGGAAATGCTAATGTGAAACTGTTTGCCTGTAACTGATTTTATATTTGTTTTATCTTGATAGGTTTGGAAGAGGACACTGGCCCTTTCTTCTGGTGGCAGATAGCTACATGAGTTTGATATTTGTGTCTTCTTCTCCAAGGCCAAGAAATTATCTCCACTGGAGGCAACAGTACTATGCATGTTATGAATTGTGTCTCCTTGGTCAGTGATAAAGAAAATGGGAATATTGCCACAGCACCTGGATTCATGATTGGGCAGACACCGCCTCCAGCACCTCCTCCACCTCCTCCTCCACCCGCTCCATCTCCAACATGTTCATATTCAAGGGAAGAGTGTCCTTCCTCCCCTCCTCCACCCCCGCCACCTCCACTTCCTGGGGAACCTCCCATCCCACCTCCCCCACCAGGTCTACCGCCAACTTCTCATGTGAATGGCTACAGCCACCTTGGTAAGAAAAAGCGAATGAGAAGCTTTTTTTGGAAAACTATTCCGGAGGAGCAAGTTCGGGGCAAAACCAACATCTGGACCTTGGCAGCCAGGCAGGAGCATCACTACCAAATTGATACAAAGACCATCGAGGAGCTCTTTGGGCAGCAGGAAGACACCACCAAGCCTTCCCTTCCTAGGAGAGGAAGAACTTTAAATTCCTCCTTCAGAGAAGCTCGAGAAGAGGTAAGACTGCAAGGTGGAAGGCAAATCCTCCACACACTGCATTGTTTTGTGTTTTGGGATGTGCGTACATTTCAAACAATTGCTAGACATCCTTAAGAAATGAGATAATACAAGCGAATGTGCCTTGGAAATGATAGGCAGGGTCTTTACGATGAGCTTGGGCTGAGTATTGAGAAAGTGTAAGAAGTGTGCGTGCTGTATCCTCCCAGACGCCCTGGCGGATTATGACCTCATGCAGAGAACATGCTATTTGGGATCAATGCCCCTATCTCTAGCACATCTGCTGAAGGTTCCCTGTTGGAGAATTTTGCTCAAGTCCAGGATCGTTAGTCTCTGTTGAAACAAAAACTGAGTTTCTAAAATTGGTTATTTTAAGTGAACTGGAGCTGACTGGGGCAGACTACCTTTTGTTAAATAACATCATCGGCTGACATCCTTCCTTAGGATTTTACCCTTATTTTCCCCTCTAGTTTTTATTTAACAGGTATTTCGAGATGGCCTTCATTCCTCAGATCTCTGAACTAGATTATAGCCATTGGGGAACAGAGGCTTCCAGAGAGCCAAAGCATAAAGCTGTTTTCAGAGAGACTGTATAGGAAGGATGTTTCCAGTTAATACTAGATGTGTTACTTTGAGAAAAATAAACCTATGAAGTTATAGGAAGTTAACTAAAAGCACGACCCCAGAGCTGTAGATCACCATGTATTACAGAAACTGCATCGAAAATTAGATATATAAATATTGTCAGTTTAGAAACCTGCAAGTAAATTGAGAAACCTCTACCTGCTGGAAAAAATAAATATAAATAAAATTAAAAGGAAAGAATGCTGCCCCCCCCACACACACACACAAAGCACAACAAAAAAACAGAGACAACAGAAATTCATCACTTAGAAATCTGTCGCAAAGGAGCAGAGAAAACAGGTCAGAGATGGCATTGATTAGATAAGAGAGCGGGCAGGGCCCTGGGATAGAGGAGCAGCTCCATGCGTTGTTGAATTCTTGAGCCAACAATATTGACCTCTTTTCTTGTTCTGGCTCAGGAACATGTTAACTCCTTCTCTCCACTGATTCACTGGGGTGCCCTTAAAGCTGATTGTATGATCTCCTGTGGAAATAGCCAGGAGTCTATTTGTTATGAAATGAATGCAGAAAACACTGGGGTTAGAATTCTTGAAGTGTAAACAGTGACATAAATTTGAGAAGGAAATCTTCATGAGAGCCCTGAGTGCTGTCAGTGCTGAGCACAGGCTCGCCTGTCTCTTACTATTATGCAAAGTCCTTTTATTTGCTGGAGTAGCCTTTCAATATTGGAAGGAGCAAGCAGTCATTTCCTTAGTACCCTGGCCTTTGCCCCAGCTCCCAACAGAGGTTCTTTATTGTACGGTAGGTCATTTCTCACTATTGTCCCCCAGCTCTCTTTACTGAAATTCAAGAATACTAAAGTAATTATTGGGTGGGCACAAGTGGAAATGAGGCCTGTGTCTCAGCAAAGCGCCTGTAACAGAAGAGGGCTAGCTCACCATGTCCCTGGGGAGGCGGCTGTCAGGCTAGAGTAGGTGGCATCGTTTGTGAATTGGGAAAATTTCAAGAGGCTACAGGGAACATGCTACTTTGTATTTGCAAATTAAAGAGAGGTTAAGAGCCAACTCAAAGAGAGAGGGGAAAGTGGCAGGGGTGTGGCATCTTTTCTCAACTCTTATGGAAGCAGTGATGTCCATTTCTAGACCAGCTTCGAAATTGAGGGAAAAAAATAATCTCTTCTTGCCTCCCTCCACCCCTGTAGCCTAAGCAGATTTTTTTGTTTTGTTTTGTTTTTTGTTTTGAAGACGGGGTTTCACCATGTTGGTCAGGCTGGTCTTGAACTCCTGACCTCAGGTGATCCGCCCGCCTTGGCCTCCAAAGTGCATGGATTACAGGCATGAGCCACCACGCCCAGCCAACCTAAGCAGATTTTTACGCTTTTGTCTTTAACTTATTTTTTTTTTAAGAATTATTTTTTAAATGGTTTTAAAATTATTTTTAATTATGGTAAAATAATATATAACATAAAATTTAGCATCTTAACCATTTTTTTAAATTATTTATTTTTTTGAGACATAGTCTCGTTCTGTCAACCAGGCTGGAGTACAGTGGCGCACTCTTAGCTCAATGCAACTTTTTCTTTCTGGGATCAAGTGATGCTCCTGCCTCAGCCTCCTGAGTAGCTGGGATTACAGGTGTGCGCTACCACACCTGGCTAATTTTTGTGTTTTTAGTAGATATGGAGTTTCATCATTTGGGCCTCGCTGGTGTCAAACTCCTAACCTCAATCGATCCTCCCACCTTGGCCTCCCAAAGTGCTGGGATCACAGGCATGAACCACTGCGCCCGGCAGTTTGTTGACATTAAGTACGTCCACGTTGTTATGCAGCCATCACCACCTTCCCTCTCTAGAACATTTTTCATCCTGCAGAACTGACACTCTGTACCTGTTAAATCAGAACTGTTTCCCTCTTTCCCTAGCCCCTGGCAGCCACCGTTCTACTTCCTGTTTCTATAAGCTGGACTTCTTTAGGTACCTTCTGTAGGTGGAATCATACAGCATTGGTCTTTTCTGTGACTGGTTTATTTCATTTAGCATAATGTCCTCGAGGTTCATCCATGTTGTAGCATGTGCCAGAATTTTAAAGCTGTATAATATTCCACTGTGTATACAGACCACATTTGTTTATCCACTCATCTGTCAATGGACAGTGGGTTGCTTCCACTTTTTGGCTCTTGTGAATAATGCCACTGTGTACATGGGTGTACAAAAATCTTTGCTTTTGGCTGGGTGCAGTGGCTCACACCTGTAATCCCAGCACTTTGGGAGGCCAAGGTGGGTGGATCACGAGGTCAGAAGATCGGGACCATGCTGGCCAACATGGTGAAACCCCATATCTACTAAAAATACAAAAATTAGCTGGGTGTGGTGGCGCATGCCTGTAATCCCAGCTACTCGGGAGGCCGAGGCAGGAGAATCACTTGAACCCGGGAGGAGGTTGCAATGAGCCAAGATCATGCTATTGCACTCCAGCCTGAGCAACAAGAGCGAAACTTTGTCTCATAAAAAAAACAAAAACAAAAATCTTTGCTTGAACACTTGTAGATATTAGTCTGAGAGACAGCATACTAGAAAGAAAAATTAAATCACCGTGTGTATCATAAGATAATCTAACTCTGCAACTCTTCAGTATTCAGGTATGATAAGTAGTTGAGATTGATCCATTTAAGTACATGAGATAATGCTGTCACATAACAGAGATTATCCAGAATTATTTTCAATTTTTCATGTTATCTGTAGCATGGCTAGAAGTATTATATATACTTTTTTGTGGTAAAAGAATATGGTACATGCTATGTCCTTCTTCTTTCAGTTTGCTTCTGTAGAAGTTAGAACTCATCAGGGTTATTGTCTAACAAAGATCAGTAATAAATCTTCCAGCTCACTTTGCAGTAAGTAGGGAGTCCAGGGTCAAAAGTAATAGTCCTCACTGTCTGTCCGTGTGGACAGTAGAATTCCCTCAACAGCTTATTCAGCAGAGGGACTGCTCCTAAGCCCGGAGCCACAGCATCACCACACTACAACAAAGGCTGCAGTTCTGGAGGTTCCAACTTGCCCAGGCAGATTATGACCCTTGAAATACTTAACCTCCTGCAGAAATAGCCCGACATTATGTGATTGACGTATACTTTAAAGCCTTACACATCATTACTAATAAGTTCCACTGTACTTGCAAGGAAGAATTTGCTGGAAGATAGGGAAGATTGGAGGATGGCTGAACTTAGAAGGAATAATGCTTAAATAGTAAATTAGAGGCTGGGCGTGGTGGCTCAAGCCTGTAATCTCAGCACTTTGGGAGGCCGAGGTGGGTGGATCACCTAAGGTTAGGAGTTCAAGACCAGCCTGGCCAACATGGTGAAACCCTGTCTTTAAAAAAAAAAGCAAAAAAGAAAAAAAAAATAGTAAGTTAGAGCATTTAGTATGGGACTGGGTACGGTGGCTCACGCCTGTAATCCCAGCACTGTGGGAGGCCAGGGCAGGCAGATCCCTTGAGGTCAGGAGTTCAAGACCAGCCTGGTCAACATGGTAAAACCCTATCTCTACTAAAAATAGAAATATTAGCTGGGCATGATGTTACACGACTGTAATCCCAGCCACTCAGGCAGATGAGGCATGAGAATCACTTAAACCCAGGCAGCGGAGGTTGTAGTAAGCCAAGATTGCACCATTGCATTCCAGCCTGGGTGACAGAGCGAGACTTTGTCTCAAAAAAAAAATTAGTATGGGAATTTGTGAAATATTACTATCCTTGTATCTTTGTTAATTAAAAATTAACTCAAAGAGACTGCAGATATGATGGTATAATAATAATTAAGCTATTAAGCTGTAATAAAGCAATTAGAAATAAAGGTATATTACTGGGGATGAGAACAGAGAGATTCAGCTCAAACTCATCTTCTTCTCAGAGCTGTACGATTCCATCCCCTGAGAAGCTCTGTAGTTTCCTGTGCCTCTATTACTGACATTCCTCAGGTCTCCTGGCGGTCTTCCACCAGTGTTAGTTAAAGGTGTGCGTGTCTCCCTCTACAGTTTGACCAGCTCTTATGGGGAGAGCTATATCTTAGCCATTTGGTATCCTCCAAAGGAAACAAAAGGTTACCGAACTGGACAGAACTGAGCCAAGAATGCAAAGGGATCAGCATATGAGCCATCAGCAAATAATGAGGCTCACAAAGAAAACACAAATATTCAAACACCTGAGGTCATTCACTGTGATGTCTGTAGTGATATAACATTGACCATCTAGGAAATCACCAAAATGGCTAATTAGAAAAAGAAGACCACAGAGGAGAGGAGGAGACGGGGGGCCAGGGCGGTGGGCGTGGGGGCGGCGGAGAGAGAGAGAGAAAGGATGGAAGGAATTTTTCTAAATTTATGACAAGTAGTATTAAATACTTTATTCTCCCACACTGTA